TAATTCTATACTCCCTTCTAATCATCATAAACTCCATGAACTGTCTTGTAAATGTTGCACCTGTTCTCGAAAAGCCATTGTATATATGTGACTGTAGTTTAAAGGTGGTACATCAAGTGAACTAGTAATCGACAAGCTTAGGTAATCAGTTCATGGAACTTGCAATGCTGTGGTGAGAGCTGGATGCTAGCCCGAATTGGTAGATAAAAATTGATGTCAATGTCCGCGTCCAAATATTGGTCATGAGAAAACAAGAACAAAGACTGACTAAACCAACCACAGCAGGCTTTGTTTGCGAAGGCGGATAAAATCAGCAGATATATGATCTTACCTTCCAGAAACACTCACAAAGAGATGAACGATTAACTTTCAGTGAGAAACAACCATCAATCAGTAGACTGTGTTTGTCTGCTAACAATAATCGATAGTAATGTACATAAAAATCTATAATTATGTGTTGAATTTTAGATTTTCCTTTCGGTTGAATGGACCGAAGTGCTCAGTCTCAGGTTGACATGTCTGTTGGCTTCTTGTGCAGATACTTGGATGATATCTAAGCATTTAATTCGAATTTAATTGGTGGATGGTGACTAGCAGTGGAAAATCTGAAATTGAATTAAATAGTTAATATGACCCGTTGCACAAGAGACTGCGGCTCTGTGGCCAAAGTGGTCTAGTGGATAACGCTTTGGCTGATGTTTGAAACTATGGGCATTGTGTTCCAGCCTTGCTGCGGGGAGCATCACCACTGACTCACTGGGGAATGCAGGTACATCCAGCCAACTGACGAGTCCGAAAAATGACGATATGCTCGTTTTCCTGGACTGGATTCCACTGCTTGTCACCATCTACCAGTTAAAGGACTTTGTTTCTCTACCCTTTCCATCAGTTGTCCGGTTTTTAGTATCGAGCCAGCCAAGTCTGAGTTCTCTTCGAAATGCTTTTGGTGATACGCACTAATCGACTAGGCAGCGTTAGTGTTGAAAATCCGAATCATGTTTCTCATGTTGATCGCAGCAGATTTCCACACAGATTTCGTGCAAGTGAGTGTCCATCTTAATTTTCCGAGATCCCGCCTTTGACATCCTCATCTGAAATGCCTCTTGCAGTTGGAATACAGCTGCCCTTAATAAGTGAGGTTATCCTCATACGACGTCATCAGAATGAAATTAGCTGGGGAACAATCCGGAATCTGCAACACATACAACACTCAACTTGTAGGGAACAATAGAAGATGGCTTGGCTTCACAAATGGTACAAAGTGCATAACCTGCCTCCTCATCTTGTAATCTTACTGTACGTCGGTGGCACAGCGGTTAGGACTCTCGCCGACCATGCACATGGTCCGGGGTTCGAGCCCTCGCCGACGCACACTTGATATCTATGGTCGGCCTGCAAAATTTGGGCTACCGATATCCACGCTGAAAATTCCATACTTGTACCCAAAATACGGTGTGGAATCAAGCTGTAATCAAAAAAAAAAAAATTAAAAAAAATAAAAATAAAAAATACAAATATAATACTTGTCGTTACGATGACAGACAGTTATGCCATCACAGATTAGTTATTCAACAATAGAATAAATAGCATTTGCATGTAACCTATTAGGTGGCTTTGCTCCCAAGACTATGTAAAGTAGCAAATCCAGGTCATTAAAGATATTCTGAGCGTAAATGGATGTATGCAGAGAGGTTTATAAAAGTCAACATAAGTTATAATGGTCACCAGTATGAGCCAGCAATTCAAAGGAGATAGGTACTCCTACGGAAATTCTATTCTAACTTCTTACCACAGAGAAATAAAGAAGACGTTGTACTCTGTACATCTCTTCCTATCCATCAGTAGCTATCCAATCTTCATCCCCAAACAGAAAGACGTCTTACCTAATCGTAGCTCTCCCTTGTGCATATACCATTTTAACCGTTCATGTGGTTCATGTTATATACGGTGTATAGCTGCGTCTCAGTTGCGTCTACAGCCTGAAGAGCATTTACTAGGTGAGTTCAGTCAGAGGGAAATCAAATGCATCAAAAGTTTATTTCTACCACAATACAGTACATCACATTGACGTTAACATAACCTTCAGGCTTGTGTGCCACATTATGAAGTCAGCATTACAGACAATCCGCCTTTGTTTTTGATGTGGTTGTGTTCTCTGAACTGGATGGTTGATTTGCAAAGCTTTCATCACCTTACTAGGTGAAATATTCAGCGCAGACTTCAAACTGAAGTATGAAAGCTTCTCAAATCAACCATCCAGTTCAGAGAACACAACCATATCAAAATCATCCACCTGATTTAAAAATCTTACGAGCGGGATACAATTCGCCTTTGTCTTCCACATGTAAAACTGAAACTGTAGCAATACAATAGACTAAACCTGAAATTTGTGTTCGAAAAGAACACGTCCAGCAGCTGTTTCCTATCATGACCAAACCTGCATCAAAGAATTTCTTGTCCTCTCTAAGACTGCCTCTTCCTCTTATCTCTTTTTTTCTCTTCTGCTTTGTTCATCAGTTTGGCCCCTTTTATCTTCCTTCATACTAACATTTTCAGCCACAATGTCTTCTCCTTTATACGCCTAATTCTATCATTTTTCTTTTACTGTCGAATGTCCACTTACTACTAATGTAATTTGTGCGTTGGTGGTGTAGCGGGGAAGAATTCTCACTGACCATACATAAGGTCCGGAATTCGATCCTCGGCCGACGCACACTCCTCACCTTCACCTAGCCAGTAGAAGGTCCGGCAAAAAAGGAGAGGTTGAGTGGCGTTAGGCTAGCACCCTCATCCCCTTGAAGAATGAAACCACTGTTCCAAAAAGGCTTCAAAGCTTCAGTTTGAGGCCCTATGCGACTGCCACTCGAAACGTAAAGGAATAAAAGATAAGAAAATCTACTGTGACTAAGTAGTAGTAATGTGGTCACTTTCCTTCTCTCAATCTATACCTCCATCTGTTTCATTTCACATATTGATGACTTTAGTATTGTGAAATGTATAACGCAGTCCTGCTATCTCCTCCACATCACTTACCCACTTTGTACTAACCACACACCTAACATCATTTTACAACCTTTAACTGACTTGTAAATTTCCCTTCCCCACATCGAATTGCAGCAGTTATGACTAATATTTGACCATCATTTCAGAATATTCTGTTTATTGAATTCAGCCCAGCTGATTGTCACACGAATACTACTCATTTTGTCACCCAATTACTATTAATGTGTTATACTAAGTAGAAATGCATCATCCATGAAAATTATTAGGACCTGAAGTGAATATTCTCCGTTCAGATTGACTTTCATTAAGATGTATAGACGTAGACATATACTGTAGCTCGGTGACATATTATTATACAATTAGCATATGCATGATTTGACCTTCAGGAAACAGACACAAGGAGATGAAAGATGATGAACTTTCAGTTAGAAACAACCACCAATCAGAAGGCTGTTTTTGTCTGCTAACAATACTCTACAATAATGTACATGAAAATCTATAAATATATGTTGATTTTGTAAACAAACGATCTGTTGCCTGGCCCTTGTCTTCTGCCGTCACATTTAGTGTCAGTCGGCTTGATCTTCTTGGTGCTGGCGTCTTCGTTGACTTGTCTAACTCTACCGGCTATTAGGCGAGTCACACTTTGTCTCGTAGAAAGACTCGCATATAAAATTTGGCCGCATCAAACAACTGATGGATCACCAGAGAATGACGCTGCAACTACCGGTGCCGGGATAGCCATTCATAGTGTCTTCCGATGCTAACGAACACGGAATAGGCGCAGTACTCAAAGGGTGATGGAGTCGTCGAATACGCCAGCCGTCTTCTGAAGTACACGGAACAATTGGGAAGGAGTGTTTGGCGATTGTGTGGGTGCTAGATAAATGGATACGCTATTTACCTGGTCAACGGTTCCACGTAGAAACCGACCATAAGCCGTTGCAGTGGATGAAAACCGACGGAGACACTAGTGGGAAGTTGTCACGGTGGATGCTGCACCTGCAGGAGTATGATTTCACGATCTCTCATGTTCCAGGAGAAGAGAACGTATTACCAGATATTTTATGTACAACAGAAGACAGGGGCCAGGCAACAGATAGTTTATTTACGAAATCAACACAGACAAACACAGTCTTCTGATTGGTTGTTTCTCTTTGAAGGCCAGATCAACTATCTGCTGGTTGTATCGGCCTACGCAAGCAAAGTCTGCTGTGATTGGTTGTTGAGTCAGTCTTTGTTCTTATTCTATTCTCAAGACTAATATTTGGGACATGAACATTCACGTTAATTACTGTCTACCGATTTGGGCTGGCAGGCAGTTCTCGCCACACGCTGAGCTGTTTGGTTTAGTCGCAGAGCTTTCGTCGTCCTTTCTGGACAACATCCCCTTTCAGTGCAGCTTTTAGCATTGTTTATTATTATTATTTATTGCTGGAGTATGTTTACTAAGGCGAGTTTAATTCATTCATGTCACATTTTTTTTCAAACTAATCTGAGGTAATATTCAATCCCTTTTTTATTGTACCCCATGATTTTGCAATAACACACAAATGACACACAATTATCACTGCACCATATAATTCATGACAACTTTAGCTAACTAAATTTTTCGGGTACTTTCAAAGTCTTTTTCTTTCTATCTCTATCTGTGAAGAACTACACTCACCTTGATCTTATGTTTATATTCCCTTTGCACATACACACACATACAAAGAGTGGATGGATAAGCAAAAAAACGTGAATACAGCTTAACTATTTCCATGCATGTAAGAAATGACGGTTCATGGGCAATCCTGGAGACTGTAAAAAAGGTAAACAGAGTCGACTGATGATTAACTGCCAAAGCGCCATGTTTTACTCGGAACCCAAAGGAATAATTATTCTAATTATAATAGAATTTGGTTATATATTTTAACTAAATATAGATCACAGGATTATTCACTAACAAGCAGCATGCTGTATAAAATAAATCGTTGAAAATACTACCTACTAACCGAGTACAGCTGATCCAGATCAAGTGGTTTCATCTGCAGTTGAAATATATGAGTCAACAGAAATTTCGATGATGTTTGCTTTTGTAAATTTTTCACTCGATTCAGTAAATCGTCGACTGTTCTGTATATAATTGAAGTTGGATAGAAAATATTCGACAGATTTTTGGTGGAATACATTTGAGTTGTAAAGTATGGAACGAATTTTTCATTGTTCATTTCTGCCTGTAAGATTAAATCTAAAACTGCCTCAACTTCTACTGTAATATGAAAGACAAAAATGAATGCAAAGTTAGACTTGAAATGTTTTGGTTGAGAAAGGCTATACATTTGAGATGATGAGTTGTGTGCGTTGATATTCTATCCAGGACTCAGCTATGTCGCTGAATGACACCACTTGAAACCACCGGCTACTGGATAGGTATTGAGTCCTGATTTTGGAATTCCTCAGCAATACGTGGGCTTGGTTCCACAGGGGTTGATCCCAGGATATTTAGGCATCCAGTACTCGCTAGATTTCAGTGACATTTTATCGATGTCAGTTAGTGGTTTAACTTGATATCAGTCGAACGTCTGTAAATCACTACTTGGAAATGCACCAGAGACTCCAACTTTTAAGTAACCAACTAACTAGTAGCAGCTCATGAGGAAGAAGAGGAAGAAGAATGTCAGTCCAGCAGTATTGATTGACGAAGTGGATCTGCAAGTTGTATCACTTAGCCCTTTAAATTTTGTGACTGTTATGCAAGAATTATTAAAATGGATCCACAAGTTCAGTCCAAAAGTCTCTACACTCAAACTGCCGAAGCTGTTGAAATACTTAAGTCATCTCTGGTCCATTGTTGCTATAATTATGTTGATTAGTAAACGCAATTTGGATAGTATTTTGACCAAAACACATAAACTAGCTCTAGATATTCTCCGAGGAAACGAAAACAGATTAATAACAAGACTGGATATGGAGGGGTTCCGGAATGGTTGTTCATGAACAATGCGGATTACTTCGAGAAGATGAATACGATTCCTAATGACAATCTAAAATTCCAATATATCTCATCTTGTCTAAATTCGATTGAAAAGATAGAGAATTGGTCAGTGGAAACATTGAAAAGACTGAAACAACAAGGCTTCCTCTCACAAGGTCAGTATAGTTCACTTACCACCTACTGCAACGTTCACACCAAGATTATATGATTCACCAAAACTGCATGAAAATGGTTCAGCACTTTGACCGGTACTAGATAAGTTAAATTCACCGCACCATACCATTCCATAGCCAAATGGTTAGTCAAACTCTTGCAGTCTCTACATACTGAATTAGTAAAACACGGCGTAAAAGATACCTTTGGATTTGTTGAAATGATGACAGTTTTAAGTGTTGACAATAAATTCATGATATCATTTGATTTATCTTCCCTATTCACCAATATATCATTTGTGGAAACAGTAGACTTTCTATGCGAATAACTCATAAGACGAAACATCGATGTTGGCCTTCCGACATCTCTTATAAAATCAGCTTTTCTTGAAATGCACAATAAATATTCACTTTTTACTTACTAAGTAATTATACAAACAGAATAACGTTGTGACTGTGGGATCACCACTACAAACCAGTCTAGCCAACACTTTCCTTGCTAAAGCAGAAAATTGGCCTTTGAAATATGCGATTAATGTGAACTAGAATTCTACTGTCGGTAAATGGATGATTAATTTTTGATTATGAAAAATGAGGATGAAACAAAGGACATCCTTGTTGAAAAATTAAACGATGTTCATCCTGCAAAAACTGATTCTATCGAGAATGAAAGACACTCTAGTGTTTCGTTCGTAATTCAATGCAACAGCAGAGTGGAGGGAGAGATTGATAACAGAAGCTTTGTTTATCGAATCAACTGCAAATGCGTGTAAGGGGAATGATTCAACACCTGTCCAGCCAGATATCTGGAAAATTCTACCACCCCAATGAAGTTTCGAAGTCGTGTGATTATAATTGGTGATATGAATATGAGCAATAATGAATTGTGTTCGAAACTTTGTCATCCGGTAAATAATACTGTTTCACTGACTGTGTGTTATATTTAATAAACAAACTAATATGGAATTACTTACTACCACAGTGACCAAGCTTTTTACACATATTAAAGATTAGGCTGATTCAGGGGCATGTAACGTAAGTGCAAACGGCACCATCGTCACACAGGCGTGCAAGCCAATGAATCGGAGGAAACTTGCCTAAGAGCACCAAGTTTCGTCATCAAGATGTCAGTGATAATCTACTTCACAGCCTAACTAAAATCCACAAAGAAATCTGCGTCAGTTAGCTAAAGCGTTATTCATTTCATATTTTATTCCCTCACATTCCGAGGGGACAACAGGGCTTCAAGCTGAAGCTTCGAAGTTCCTTTAGCTATAGTCTTATTTTTGATTGGTCGGGTCGCAATCCACATTCCCATCATTTCCTCTCCACCACACTAACTGCCGGCTTAGTGAGGTTCGAGGTGTTGCACACTGAAATCAGACCCATGATCATACATGCGATTGGAGAGAATTTTATCAGTGACTCACTGAGTCCATCTGGCTAAATCAAGACTGATTTAGTTCTGTTTTTATCACTATTAATTCAATTATTCAAGGGCTTATTGTTATTAAAGAATGTATTGATCAGTGGTGAACTTGCTCAGACAAAACTGTATTTGTTTCCAATCACAAAAGCTACACGCGCACACACAGACTCGTTCAACCTTCAACTGTCTGGCGTACTACTACTATGAAGCGCTGATCTGAGGTGATTTCGCCTGTTCACCTGCCATCCCCTTATCAGTTATTAAACTAACTTGTTATTAGTGAATGATGAAGGCACTAGTAGAGTAGAGAAAATTGAGGGAGCATAATAATTTGTGAAGAAATAAATTATTCATTTTGGATAAAGAATAATTTCACGGATTGCAAGCCATCTGGAAAGTAAACACGTTAGAGTTGAATCAGCGAAATCTACACAGACTGAATCATTTAATACCCTGCAAAGAATATTTATTAGGAATAATATCAGTGATGGCATATTGAAACATAATCATTTTGTATATTATATTACACAAGGTATTATCATGTGTTTTCTGACTTTTGAGTGGAAGGCAGGAAGGTTTCAGCAACACATCGCCACTTCACAGTGTTCGCTGCTGTCTTCTTACGCTTTGGTTCTTCAACTGCCAACAAGCTGTGTTTTGAGCTTCACTAAGATGATCGCCCTCGCATGATGGCTTAGGACACACACACACTCACACTCAACTCACCACTTCCCATCTAGGCTTCACTTGACGGCTTGTCTAACACGCGCGATGTCACCCTCAACAGTCTCATCAATTGATTATTCGTCCTATCAATCTTCATTTCCTTTGACACATTTGTTGTTTGTGCAACAGGTTCTCAGTTGTTTCACTGCCAAAGTGTTCCTTGTTAATTATTCCGCCTGGCTGACTGTTTCTCTGTTTCTATTCAGTATCCGTGAAAGGATCCGGATCAAGGCAGCGCTGACTTGATATCAGTGTTAACGATTTGGATATTGTGCCTCGTAATGAGTGCAGTAGAGTTACACACACAAACACACACACACCGTACTGTTTTTGACGTCGCCAGACATCAAACCCCAGGAGATTATGTGTATATGTGTAGTCACACTCCTTTCATCCAATAGGCATTCAAACATTACGCCATTGAATATGATTCATTCCAAAGTCTAGTCGACAAAAGTCAGTAATAATGAAGACGATGAGGATTAAAATTCAAATCTCACTGTTTCTACTTCAAAATGCACAAAAGTAAGCTGTAGGGTTGAGTCGTCTTAACTGGCGAGTATGCATTCAGTGGAGTTCAGAAGCAATCACAATTGAGGCAAATTTAAAGCACTTATCAAAGTTATGACTTCCGAAATTAAAACATGTCCAGTGATAAATAAATCTATTGGTTGGTAGACAAAGGGAACAATGTAAATCTTTGTGCACAGATTGATTATATCGGATTGGTCTAATCGCTCAAGTCACCACACAAAAATGAAGGGAAAAAATGATACCTGATCCTTTATATATTCATGGATACAGTTAGTTATATTTCCTAGAATTCTAACTACATACGTCTTCGGGTTGTTTCACGAAGAGTTCGACACAACTGATTTTAACTGAATAAAAATGACCATCACAGTTTGCAAAAGGACTGAACAAAGAATACTTTTTTCGATAACCCCGTCATCATCACCAGGCTCTACAGATATATACACCTATTATGGTGATTGTTTGAATTATTGTTATGAACAATATTATTGTTGCTGTTCAAATAATATCGAATCAGCAATAATAATATCGATATTGGATTACAGTTCATTAACATCAACATAAGATAAGCTGAATGTCGGAAAAATTAGGATAGATCATATTAGAAATTCATGAATTTATACTCCTCACTAAAGGCCGACTAGGGCACTATTAAGAAATGACTAGACTTGCTTCTTTCGCACGCAGGGCACTGGTTGTTTGAGGAGAATCGCAACAGCCTCTGCTGTTTGGAGCATGCGATGCTTCGATGATTTTGGCAATTTATTAGGCACCCTGTAGATGATAGTGAAGGGTTCTTCAATGCTTGCTGGATGGCTTTGTGGCCGGCCGGCTTGCATCAGATGGTTCAATGTCGAGCAGTTAAAGGTTTCCACTACACCTTTATTTGACCATGCTGAGAGATTTTCTCGAGCACGAAATGTCACGTTCCTAGAGCAACAATGGCCGATATAACTCGCTCCACCACAAGCACAGTTGAGTTGAATATGTAGATACAATTTGAAGTGTCTAGTCATGTCTAGGTACTTCATCGTTCAGTCGAGGTAGTACCATCAATCGTGTAGAGAATAATACGTGTAGTTCTCCAGCATTAAAAATTCTTTGGACTGATTTTCTTCGTAATTATTCACTTGGTATATCGCCTTTGAATTGCAGTGGTATATATAAAGAGGCTACTTGTTTACAGATAGTGAGTAGTCCTTTTCCGCTTTCTTTATCGTGTTTTTCTTGATAAGTTTAGCGTGATAGCTGTTTTCGATCAAAGTACCATATATAATGTTTAATTCATCTTCAATTACTTCTTCTGAGCATATTACCCTAACTCTGTGGCTGAAAGTCTTTACTAGATTTCCTTTGTACTTGAGGGGAAGTAAGCTGTGAAAATGTGTATATTGTCCTGTTGTCCAAGTACTTTCTCTGTGCAAATTTCTTTTTGTGCGACCATCTGGTTTTATTGTAAGAAGGAGGACATCCAGCAAGGCAATTCATTCTGTTTTGGGACTCCTCTTCGCATGTGAATTTCGAAGCCGAATGTACTTCGCTGAATTCAGTAATTATTGTACTCCTATCCAAGTCATCATCACAAAGAACGAAGGTGTAATCCATATATTGGCAATAAAATAAGAACTTACTGATAAGATTGTTCGAAAGTCTATTTTCCGGGTAACTTAGAAAGAAATCAGCTAAAATGGGACTCAACGGTGAGCCCATCGCCACCCCATCAACTTGCCTATAAAGCGTGGCGTCAAATTTGAAATTTACATTCATAGGACACCTTAATAAGAATTCTTTTGAAATTTCAGTATGGATGCCAGTGTTTATCGACTGATTATCCACTTGTTCACATTTGTAGTTAACTGTTTCTACTAAAGGTACATTTGTGAACAACAAAGATGTCATGTCCAGAGATATTAGCATCTTTGATTTTGTTTACGAATTCAAATACATCTTGGACGCTATATGTCACTATCTTGTTCACTACATTTTCAATATATTTCCAGAATCTCCGTGGAGTATGGCTTACACCTGGAGTCAAAAGCCTCAAAGGATTACGCAGCATTTGTGTTCAGATTATCCTGAATATTCGTTTTCAACTCAATTCTCCAACAATTGATAGTGCTTATCGTAGAATACAATGGCTTAGCGTAAGTGATACATGCCCAAAATCATCTCAAATGATAGTGATCAACAATATCTTTCATCGAATTGCTTCCATAGACCCTTGTCTACTTTCAGTGACATCCGTGTTGCCTGAACTAAACAAAGACGCTTATTGTCAAAAATCTTTCATATCTTCACATGTTTACTTTCTGTGGAATAGCCTGATTTAGGTAGAATAGGACAGAGTGGAATGCTGGTTAATTTTTTTACTCTGTTTTATAGCTGGGTAGATATTTTGTAATCTGTAAACGTAATACAAGTTTGAAATCTCTAGTTAGATCTTCTATATCTGTTTAAGGTGTCATCAATGGTCAGTGCATTAAAGACGATGAATCGGTCAATACATTCTACTATGTGATACATGAACTGAGCCAGCTGTGTTCACGAAGATAAATAAATTTCTCCTCGGCGAGGAGTTTACTATTCACATCTAGAGTACAGACAATGTGTAGCTGTATTTCTCAGATAACCATTGGAACAATTTGTCACAAAGATGATTAATACCAATACTGGAATAAATAATACATGATTATTAAACTTATTTGATTTGTTATACTACTTACAAGTAGGTGAATCACTTAGAAGTAAAGCTAAAGCAGCACGTTCAGTTTCGCTTAATTCGTATATCGCTCTGCTTGTATGCTCAGGTGTTGGTTGAATCCATATTGTTGTTGAGGCTGACAGTGCACTCGAATCGATGGAATCTTTAGAGCATGCTGGTCTGGGGATAGCCACATGTGTTATTCTGTGTGGTGAAGTTTGTGATTCGATTAACTGTGCCACCGAGCAGGTGGTCAGGCTGATGATCACATGCACATTCCTCTCGATTAAGTTGCAGACTGAAGCAAAGAGAAGAGAATGTAATCAAACAGAAGCAATCAGCACTCAGCCCTCCATATTCAAATGAGGAAACATATATCATAGGGTATATATATATATATATATATATATTGAAATTCTCTCAATAATTTACTGGATGTATGTTTATTTCAGCGAGTGTAAATTGAGTGAGTTTGTTTCCTGAAGAGAACAAGGCTGAATTGACAGGAATGGTCTGCGTTGATAACTACTACGGATAGAATACATCTGTCTGTCAATCAAATCGGGAAATTATCTACTTTTGATCAATGTTGCTTCATCAAAATTTCATCCCAAATACTACTGCTTGACTGAGATAATTCGCTGAACAGCACTTGCATCAGCGCTTGCTAGCCACATTTCCTCATTGTCATTTATGGTATCACAAGTTTGATTGGATGGAGGATTTAAGAATGAGACGACATCAGTTATAGAACCACTGGAAAACCTAGGAGTACTGAACACCTGTTTTGTCCGTCCTAGTCTGGGACTCTTTAGCAGTACGCAACCAACGGGGTTCGAACACAGAACCTTCTTGTTACAAGGCGAACTCGCAGACTATTAAGACACTGGGACCCGATCCAGTGGCTATCCTTTGAATTGTAACTTCTACCAATTCACAACATAGTGCGACCATTTCGCAATGTCTCCTTCGATGAGTGAGTCACTGCCTCATCTTCAACCTGATGTACCCTAATGGCCACGGCTTCCCACTAGAAACTCAGGAGACTGCCTGAATAGGGGAAGTCGCTAGAAAGCATCAGATTAATTTTCAAGTATTGATTTTGTAGGGGTTCAGCTTGATTGGATGGAGGATTTCACCATAAGCTGACAACAGTTAGAGAACCAATGGAAATCACAAGTTGTGATTTGAATTATTTTCGCTTCCACGCTTTCATCCACTGATTTGTACAATTTTATTTTGCAAACTGAACTTAAACGATAAATGAATGATGAATTTTAACTTTTCCTAGAGGAGACGACTGAGTGGTTAATTTTGTCTCAGTAGCACCCCAGCTTGAAAACAAAATACCCCTCCCTGAATATCAATTCAACAATAGCAAAAAAAGGAAAACTTGAATGATTCCTCCAGAATGCATCTTCCCATGAAACTATTTATTATCTGAGTTGCAACAAGTAAGAAACTATTTGAATGAAATTTAAATGGGACAGAACGAAATGGGAACATTCTTTCACATGACTTGGCGTCTAGATTTGCTCAAGAAGAGAAATACGTTCCAGTGAGAGTCTAGTGACTGTTTATGTGCGATGCAGATAGGAATGTATTAATCTGAAGTCGTGGGCTTGGTTTTGGTTGACATCTGCTCCAGCAATACTGTCAATGCCCACCGCCACTCACATGCTTGCCTCGTTGAAATGATCTTAACACTAGGTGACTCAGCTGAGGCCAACAGCATCAACGGTGTACCGGACCCGACTTGACGCTGTTCAAACCACCCACACAGCAAGATGGAAATATCGACTGTAGATTGGAGCTCTCTCTGATCAAACGACACTGGGAATGTTTCTAGGATTGTGTGGGATACACTCAACATTTTCTTGAAACGCGTCTCTGATAACAAAGATGGGCAAAAGTATGGTGAAACATTGAACAGAGGTGAAATGGTCTATCTTAGACAAATGTTATATTCCAGAAGTCACCGGAACAAAAATTACCCTATGTAATTGAAAATAACTATGACGATCATTTTAATTTATTTATCAGTAATGTGAGTATTATGGCAAAAATTTGTGAGACTAACCTTGACCAACTGTAAATTCATTTACAGTTATGTTTAATGCAGGTGGGCTTGGCAGAGAAAAATTTCTGATCGGATAATCAGCATAATATTCCATTTTGGCACTCAACTCATCGAATCGTCTCATCAAAGCTTCTCCAGATATTCCCAGTTCATTGTCATAAATTATACCTATGAGAAAACAAAA